AAAATTCTTGATAATAGCCAAAATTGAAAAGAATAGTTTTAAAAATTCCATTTAACTGTTTTCCCCAATACTACTGAAAATGTCTCCATTCATTTAGACATAAAATTCCCTGAATATCCACATAATAGATAAATGCTATTATGATCTACACAAGCAAGGTCCTGCCCTCATGGAATTTCAGGAGCAGTGGAGGTCACAAGACAAAGCAAGGAGACATGATTCAGAATCAGAAAGAAAATAGAGCTATCACCTCAGCTGGGAGCCAGGAGAGACTTTCCACAACCTGTGAGGCTTCATCTGAGGTATAAACAGCAATGTGTGTAAGAAGAGAGTCAGGTGGACAAATAGTGCACCAGAAGGTCATAAGTAGAGGCTGGAGGCAAGAGAAAACAACCACTTGGAAGAACAGAAAAGTCTGTCATAAAGCAGAGAGTTGGTGGAGAGTTAATGCTGGAGACATAAGCAGAAACTCAGTCATAAAGGGCAGGCTGAGATTCTGGGGGAAATGGGAATTCATTCAAAGATATTTTAAAATGCCATAAATGTACTGGGGAGGATTTTTTAATCTTTTATCTACTTATTTATTTATTTGGTACAGGGTCTCACTAGATAGCTCAGACTTGTAATGATCCTCCTGTCTCAGCCTCCCCAGTGCTGGGATTACAGGCATGCACCACCACGCCTGGTTTCAATGGCTGGCATGCCATGCGGTACTGGGGATCAAACCCTGATCCTTGTACTTGTTAGGCAGGTGCTTACACCACTGAGCTAGCTCCCCAGCCCTGTAGTGTGTTTTATAAATTATTTCTGATTGTACAGTGGGGAAAGAATTGAAGAAAACCAGGAAAAGACTCTAGCCTAGAAAAAATGATGAACTGAGTAAGTGCTGTAGAAATTCAAGACAATGAATAGATTTAAGAGCTCTTAGACATTCAGAAAGACCAGACTTGATTAGATACACTAACATCATCAAGTGGTCAAACTTCTTAGATTTAAATGCTGGCTGTATCATTTATGGGGAAAGTAACACCATTTCCTCTTCTGTATTTTAGTTTCCTATTTTGTAGAGTAGTAAAAGAAAAAGTGGTACTACTTGTGGGTTGTCATGCAAAAGAAATGAGTTAATTCACAAAATACTTTGGGTTTGTCTCACTCTTCTTTTTCTAGAAGTTTGTGGTACAACATTAAGTTGTTTACTTGTGCTAGTTCTATTTTTTCTATTTTCTTCCTGTGAGAATTCAGTGCTATAAATTTCTCTCTTAGGACTGCTAGTACCCATAAGCTCCAGTACATTGTATCTGTGTTCTCATTTAGTTGTAGATATATATATTTCACTTCTTCCTTAATTTCATCTGTGACCCATTGGTTGCTTAGGAGGGTGTTATTTAATTACCATGTGTTTATGGAATTTTTGTTGTTTCTTTTGCCATTAATTTTATTTTATTTTTATTTGTTTTTTTAGCCATTAATTTTAAATTGCATTGCACTGTGGTCAGATAATATGCAGGGGGCAATTTTAATTTCTTTACATTTACTTAGGCATGTTCTGTGGGCTAGTATGTGGTCTATTTTAGAGAACGTCCCTTGTACAGTAGAGAAGAATGTGTGTTTTGATGATATTGGGTAGAACACTCTGAAAACATCCACTAAACCCAAATACTCATCAAGTGAGGAATGGTTAAAAAGATGTGGTATCTGTATACAGTGGAATACTGGTAAGCTATGAAGGACAAATTTAAGACTTTTATAGGCCAGTGAGATATCTCAGCAGATCAAGGGCCTTCTTATGCAAGCACAGGGACCAGGGTTCAATCCCCTACACTATATGCCATGCCGGCCCCACCCCCAGGCATGCTGAGCCAGCCACCAAGTCTGGGCATGGTGGTGCACACCTATAACCACAGTGCTGGGGAGGCTGAAAACAGAAGGCTCACTAGGAGTCTGCGCTGTGTAGTGAGACTCTGTACCAAATATATTAAAAAAAAAAAAAACCTATATAGGTAAATGAATGCAACTTGAGACCATACTCAGCAAAATAAATCAGACTCAGGTAAACATTTATTGCTTCCCTAGTGTAAGAAGCTGAAAGAGTAAATAAGAGTAAATGTACAATAAATATTGTGAAATGGGAAGCAACTTTTCAAAAGGAAAGAAACTAGGATGAGAAAAAGGAGAAAAGAAGGAAGGGAAAAGGAAAAATAAATTAAGATAGTTAAGATAGTTATACTAATTTGTATCAGCTTATTAAAAAGAAAAGTTTCAGGGGCCTGGCCCTAGTTCTGTTCTTTAAGTGGCTGCTTCCACAAAGCTGTCAGTCTCAGGTGGTTGTAGTTCGATCCCCACAACCCTGCAGCCAGCCAAAAGTGCCCTAAAGGCATTCAAGGAGCAAAAAGAAAAAAAGAAAAAGAAAAGTTTCTACTTATATTATTTGATTGATTTTATGCCTATATCTTATAATATTTTAATTTCATTTATTTATTAATGTTTAATTTGTGTACTTGGTACAAGGTCTCACTACGCAGTTCAGACTCATAGTGATCCTCCTGTTTCAGCCTCCTCAGTGCTGGGATTACAGCCATGCACTACTATGCCCAATTTCAGTGGCCAGCTCAGCACAGGGCAGGCTGGTCATGCGGTATCAAGGATCGAACCAGTATCCTTATACTTGTCAGGCAGGTGCTTAGACCGCCAAGCTACCTCCCAAACTGCATAGCGAGACCTTGTCACGAAAGAAAGAAAGAAAGAAAGAAAGAAAGAAAGAAAGAAAGAAAGAAAGAAAGAAAGAAAGAAAGAAAGAAAGAAAGAAAGAATGTTGTGTTTATTTGTATGTTTAGGTGCCATCAAGAAGCCCAAAACCAATCAGCCTATATGTGCACATGTAGAAGCACATCTCACCAAAAGATT